ATGAAAATAATTATATGTGAGCAGATTAAAGCATTTAATTTAATCAAAACGTTTTATAAGTATGTTTCCACTTACAGAAATTACTAATTTGATAGCCAAGCCGATGTGCTGTTTCTACCCAACCGTTTTTTTAAATCTCACCCACAGTGGTAGAGTATTTATCAATTATGACACAAAACCGCACACAAGTTCTTTGTACCAGCCGAGCCTTTTTACTTTCCTCTCAATAAGCCTCCAAGAATTAGGGGCTAAACAAAATAACGTGTTATTACGCTGACATGTTGCCCCTGCGTATTGTCCCCCCAGTGGGACAGCGGTAAGTCTACGGACTTACAACGATAAAATTCGGGATTTAATTCCCCTGTGTATTTGTCTTTCCGCCCTACCTTACACCAACAGCGTGCGATTTAGTAGAAGCTGGAATCATGAAATTGGAATATAGAAGGTTCAGAAAACAGTGTGCTACAAAGGGTATGTGTTGTTCTTCCGCGAGATGGAGCTCTAATGGGAATTTGTGATAACGTTATAAATTAAAAGCACACTTGACAAGAGTTTGTATTGGAAACACAGCGATGTTCGATAAAGAAATTTAAAGGGGGTTGTAGATTATTGGTTGTAAATCCTTGTCGTACCTATGGTAATAAACAAGAGTTTGTATTGGAAACACTGGTACACAGCGATGTTCGATAAAGAAATTTAAAGGGGGTTGTAGATTATCGGTTGTAAATCCTTGTCGTATCTATGGTAATAAACAAGTTACACATTTTGTTATATATTTAGACTCACATACTTGAAAAGCTTGTTAGATAAATCTTGATCTCTTTCAAGCATGAATACAATTCGTCCTAAACTAAATACACACACACATAATATAACTCAAGAACATTACAAAGAGACTCAAAAATCAAAATTAATTTCCCCATTACCAGTTCTTGTTGTCATCATTAAAATTCTATGGATGATGTCTGTAGTCATAGCAACCCAACATGTTGGGGATATTCCATCTGTCAGACTAAGCTAACAACTAAGCTCATAATTTCCCCATTACCTGTCCTTGTTGCCATCATTAAAACTCAACGGATGATGTCTGTAGTCATAGCAACCCAACATGTTGGGGATATTCCATCTGTCAGACTAAGCTAACAACTAAGCTCATAATTTCCCCATTACCTGTCCTTGTTGCCATCATTAAAACTCAACGGATG